CCCCAAAACCCCAAAACCCCAAAACCCCAAAACCCCACATTACTAGAATTATAAAATTTTTAAATATCAAAATTAGCAAATCAATTAAGCTTTAAGGTGTTTTTATCTCGATTTTTTACTGTGAAATAAGTTTAAACTTGAGTCTTCAAACAAATTATAAATGATAATTCATTGCTTGATCTACTTATTTAGCTGTTTGATACATCTAATCAATCTTGGAATCTGGAAGACCCATTTAGTTTTTCTTTAATGCTGTTTCTAATCTAGTCATTATATTTGGGGAAGGATCAGTTAGGCCTTCAGTAACAATCTCTTTCAAAGATCTATTTTTAGAACAAAGATCAATCAAAGCCTGAATACCCTAATCACTAATTTTGTTATCACTAATGTCTAAATATTCTAGTGTCTAATTATGAATTTGCTTTAAGCTATCTACCAATTCAATAATGCTAAAATCACTTAGACCATTACCTGCCACATTTAGTTTAGTAATCCAAGATAGATAATTTTGCTCAAGCTATGGCAAAATTGCATGAAAACCGTCTTAACCAATGTAATAATAAGATAAATCAAGTTCATCTTTAGTCATTTCAACAGCATGTCTATGTATATCAGATTATTTGTTTATCTACTCTTTAGTTTTTCCCTTTTATGTTTCATCGGGATCATCAGGATCAATTCCTATTAAAATTTAATTTCTTTCAAAAGCCTAGAGTTAATCGAAATCTTAATCATATAATCTACACCCAAAATCATTTTCATCTTCTTCATAAAAATCTCCAAGCATCTATTGATATCTTTTGGCATCGGAAACAGTATTTTGATCTCTTTTTTTTAGATCTACCTTAGATGGAGGGTTGATAATACTTTCTAGCTCAAATGGTGTCATTACATTCCAGACAAATTAATTTGATCCTATTTATTTCTTTATTTGTTCGTTATCTGGTCTAAAGATGCTAGTTCTTAGAATGTTAGAGGCTAATGCTGCTGTTGATCTATCTGGTAATGCTGATTTTATAATTTATTTATTATCCCCTGGCTTTGCTGCATCATAAAACTTATTATTTAACTAATTTAATAGATCTTTTTTACTTATGCTAGTCTCTTAAATATCTTATGTCATATTATTATCTAGAATTATTTTGAAAGGTTTAGTTTCAAAAATGATATCTGCAGGCTAGCAATTAAAGTAGAATTTAAGCTAATATTTCTGCACATCATTAGAGTACTTTGTGAGAGGTATTATACAGTATTTACCTTATGTAATTGTGAAAGAGCATTCTACAGATCTTGAAGGCTAAGTCTTTTTTATCAGAACCTTTTTATTCGTATCATAAAATTTAACTCTATCCTCAATCTTATTCATTTTAAGTACAATCAGCCCGATATTTACTCTGTGATCCTTGAATGGAGGATGAAGCTAAGTAATGAATCTTGGATCATTCTATTGAATGATGGCAGTTACTCTCACTTCTTTTACCAAGGGATTATCAAATGTAAAAATGAATTGCTTATTTCTTAGCCAGTCAGGATTTTTAGGATGAGGGAAACCAAAACTAGGAGCCCATTCATCTTCAAATTTCACTCCAAAGTAGCTATCTGGGTAATCTCTTCCTATTATTATACAGTTAAACATCTCAACGAAGTCATCTAACTTGATGACAAATATCCCATCTTCAACATTCCATCTATGGATGTACCTTTCATTATCAGAATATCCATCTAAGACATTCATATTGTTAAATTTACTCTTCAGATCTTGATTCCAAACTGGATCTACATCACTGAATGCTCCATTCCACTCTTATGAATTAGCCCAAGGATTTTTCAGTCTAACTAATTTATGAACTTGTGAAGGTTCTGCTCCCCTCTCCTCTGTTTTAACTTCTCTTACATCCAATATTGTATAGAAAAATCTTTATTGAATGCCCTTTAGTTGTGCTTATCTGTAAGAATTTTACTTTTTTTCTTAATCCAAGCTTGGAAACATCTCGAAATCCAATTTGCAACCTAAAATGCAGTGATTATAACTAAGAACTCTCAAGGAATTGAAAAGATTATCTTTATTAGTATTTTATTGAGGATCAATATAGACAGTTTCAGGATAAATACCAATCATGTCTTGGATAGCTTCCTCAGGAGTACCAATTAAAAGTGCATAGTATCTACCATGTAGTTTGGCGAAGGCTTTTTCTAAAAGTGATACCCAAAATAGATTTGAGTTTTCACATCTAGCAAAAAAAGGTACTGGCTGACCATTATCTTTTTAAAGACATGGTAATCTGTCATCAATTATAACATAATAGAGTTAACCATTCTTAAAGAATCTAAAGACGTATACTCCGTATTTCCTATATTAGTAGAATCCTTCTTCTCTACAAATCATTTAATCAAAAACTTTCTGTTCTGCTGCAATCATACTCAAAGAACTTAGGAACCATCTATCTTCTAATTTACCCTAAATAATTCTGTGTCCATGGATTTTGTAATCAGATTTCATAGATAAGATTTCCTCTTGTGAAGCCTTAGATAAATCTAATTCAGTAAATCCAGCCATTTTCGGCATAGGAGCTATTTCTTAAGGTCTCATCCAACTTAATTTTCTCAAGGAAAATTCCAATTCCTAAGCTAATTTTTGATCAAGATCTCCTTCAAAATATAACGGATTATATTATGCCTCTGGCCCAAAATCTGGATCCTTAAAAAGCAGATTGTAGTTTAATACACTCTATTCTTAAACTGATTAGCATTATTATTAAGCGATCATTAACTCAATAACTTGCTTTACTTCTTCTGGATTATTTGTTTAGAGAATTGTGTTCGGGTAAAGAGGTTTCGATTCTAAAGGAACTAATTTTGAATTTTGGAGGTCTCTTTTAGCGAGTGAGTCCTTAGCAGGAGCTATTCTTTGTTAAGTTTCTTGAAATTTCTTGTTGGTAGCTTCTAGTCTCTATTAAAGTTATTAAGCCTTTTCTAATAAAAGTTGATTCTTATCCATTTAAGCCTAAATAAGTTCTTTATTTTTATTGGCATGTTGAATTGAAGCAGTACCTCCACCAGTGCCTCCAAGTCCCAATTCTTTTCTCTTATTTTATGTTATCTAATCTAGTTCCTTGACACTTTTTGGGATTTATGAGATGGTATTTAACTGCTTTTGTGCAGCTTTTTTGGAATCCTCAATCATGTCCTTGAGGAACTTGTTCTATTTTACATTCTAAGATGAAATTGAGGACTGTATTCCTTTCATATTTTAATTAACAATTTGAATTTAAACTTTTTGCATTTTATACTTCTTATAATTGGTTAGTGGGGTTTTGGGGTTTTGGGGTTTTGGGG